GAAAGGAAAGGAAAGGAAAGGAAAGGAAAGGAAAGGAAAGGAAAGGAAAGGAAAGGAAGATGACTTACTTTCCCCTCAAGATAAACTTGTTCAGGAGACATATAAAGATACATTGGTGAGGCAGATTTTGGTGGACAACAAGAGATAGAGTGAAAAGTTTAGAATATATGATACTCATAAGCCAGAAGCCATGACATTTAAAGATCCACTGAAAGCATATAAATATGTTCAAGTTAATGGCATTTCTGTTTTCCTGACCAAACAACATGTCTTTTTGTATAACTTTTCTGCAGAACCAATAGCTATCAAAGAAATGCTGTCACATTGGGTGTGGTCTTCTCTGGCCAAAGTAGCAATATAGGGAAGACTGGGAATGTATGATAGCTTTGAAGAATCTCATTAATTATTTTTATTGAGACAAACAGATGGCTTAATTAGCTACAGATAAAATAAATTGACTCTTGTACATAGAACTAGGCGTCATAGACATCAGATCCAATGAAGTGATGTATAAATGCTAACTGCTGGCAGGAAATAGGTTTGATATTGATGGGTAGCTCAGAATAACAACTGCTGGCAAGTAGTCCCAGATATGAGTTTTGCTGAAGATTTTCTTGGAATTGTTCTTCAATTTAACCATAAGAATAATGTAGCACTTGTAAAAAGGCACTTTCATATTTCCATAGGCTAAGGTACTGCACAAATGCTAGAAGGATCTTTGGTCTCAAGTTCAGGAGAAAGGATCCTGAGGAACCAACACAAGGGGATATATGATTCTGAAGGGAAAATGCACATTCTTACTAGCAGCAAGGATGGAAACAAGAGTTTTTGCTTCGCCTACTGTCCTTATTCTAAAAAATTTGCAGACCTCAAAAAAAAAAATTTAAAAATTCCATCTCTCAGTTATGTTTTTGGAAAACTAGGCCATCCATCAGACTAGAATAATACTAAGTTAAATTGATTATTGTAATGTTACATATTAATATTTTGGCTGCATTGCAACTGGCCCATTTTTGTCATAGAGTGTTTTTGCCCATGTTGAGGATGTTCTTTTTGGGAAGATACCATTTCAAAATATTTTCTACTTAGTGAAATTACACATTTCAAACAAACTTATTATGGAATACAATTATTGTATTATGAAATACAATATTATATATTCCAGCTCAAATATTGGCAATTATTATGCCCAAATCCTCTATCACCATGATTTCCTAGCATTTCTTTCTTTCTTCAGTACTGTATCTTCTCATTTTATCAGTCAGTCCTCACAAGATAGTTTAGAATAACCAATGTTAACAAAACAAATCCATGTAAAATATATAATCATATAAATACTAAATTGCAAATTATCCATACAAATTATCCACAAATTAACTACAATAAAAATTTCTTAAGATTCTTCTAAATCAGAAGGAACCATGCCTCTTCTCTCCCCAGGAAAAGAGTTCTGGACTGATGGGACTACCACAAAAAAGCCCATCTCTCAAAATCTGTGCCTAAGTGTCCTTGCCAGTTGTCACCAGAGAATAGTTGTTCGAAGCCAGTGATCACCACCTTTAAAAAGTTATGCTAAGTATATGGCCATTATACAAAACTATATTGGCTCCAGTTGACAAATGTCTGGGCTCCAGAGAAAAAGAAAGTGGTTCTACGGTCTGTTCTCATTTGGCTAACTTTAGATACTAATAACAAAATATGTTATGCAGCTGTTTTGGTACAAATTCCAGATTAATCAGAAGCTTTTCCTTCGTTTCCTTACACCCCGATACGCCAACAAACAGTGACCTGTTCCTGCTTAATATCTATTCTTGTGGGCAAAAAGTATATGTCAACTAGATTACACACATAGTTGTTTATTTATTTGTTTGTTTTATTTTAAATGGCTGCCCATCTCAAATTCATGACTCTGGGTGGCTAACAATCTTTTAAAAATATATAAAAACAGGAAAACAACACATTCAGAAACAGCAGCTGGGGTAAAAAAACTCATCCATCACAAATCAACATAATCAATGTACAGGCTCAGCCACACCTCCTGATCCCCAGGGCTGGTGACATAATATATAATACTGTTAGTGTAGGATTGAGTATGAAGCACCTCTCTTTGAATAATTAAAATAGCTTCAACCAGGATCACTTCTGTAAGGAGAGTCTGGAAAAAAACATAGGTACTTCAGTGATTTGAAAAGAACTGTTTTGCATATGTTTCCACATGTTGCAAAGCATCTCTTGCAAAGGATTTGCATAATGAGAAGAAGCAGGAAGTCTTCCTCCTATCATGGTATGTCGCATATTTAGTCAGATATTCACTGACCCCTGTATATATGTGGACACTTAATTCTTTGTTCCCATGTACACTGTGATGTGGAAAATGGGTCATCTGAATTATCAGTCACAATCACAGCCATCAGTTTGATCAGACGTGTGTGGATTAAGCAGCGATATACCATTCTGTATTTTGTTCAACAGTGAACTGCTTAATATCCTGTTTGCTATGTACCACATGGGCTATAAAATCAATGTGGCGAGCTATACCAGGTGTTCAAGCACTTTGAAATTCCTCCAATTTCTTCTTTCTAGAGATATGACTTTAAAAAAAAAATCCTTCCTTTAATGGTTCTAGCCTGTTTTATTTAACATCCTTTTGCATCTTCCATTCCTGTGAAGAATCTGCCCTGAGAAGCATTGCCCATACGAGCTCACTTTTCCTGTTTCCATCAACTTCATTCTCTGTTTTCGTTTGGAATATCTATCTCTGATATAGGTATTTACATGATTTAAATAGTAAACCAGCATCAAATATCTAGCTATTATAGTTCCATTCATTTGAATGGGAAAACATTATTAGCCTCTTTATCCCTGATTGCAGTATGCATGTGACATAAGGGTCATTCTTCAATTTAGCCCTCCTATTTATCTTTCATCAAGCTTTGATTAATAGGGCTTGTAATTGCTGTTTGTTTGTCTGCATCCTTCCACCTGCATTTCATTAATTCAAAGCTCTGTTGCTGAAGTTTGCCAAGCTTCCGCAGACAGTAGGCAGTAATCATCACTCGAGTTATTTGTCGGAATTTGGAAAGAGATCCAGAGTAAGTTTGCCGTCTTATTCAAAAGAGTCTAACAGCAATTCAAAAGCATGAAGTTGGTGAGTGGGCCCATTAGGATGCAAACCTGTCTTCCATCCACACTGTGGCAACAATTCATTTTTAAGTTTCACTGTGATTCAGTTCTTTTGCACATGTGGATGATCTGATTTTGGCCAGGGTCCTGGTGAATGAAGTCATGTCTATTACAAACCAAGAGACAAGTTGCTAATGAACATATTGCCAACAGGGATCAGTATTTTTACCATAAACCCTGAAATATATTTTTGCCTTTTCTTTTTAAGAACTCAGAAAATTTTGTGATCCACAGATTTTTTTTCCTGTTTTCCTGTTTCACACTATTATACTTCTTTTTAATCAGAGGTATTTAGCCATGTTACCATTACTACATAATTACTATTACTACACCAGAGTTGCTGTTTAACTATGCTATATATTTTTTTTCCAACATGTATCATGAATAACGTATCTATAGCTAAACCCTTCTGAGGAAAGTTATTTCTCTATTTGACTACAATTCCCAGAATTCTAAGCCAACATGGCCAACAGCTGGATATTACAGTCTATCACATCTGTACAGCATAATGTTGGAGAAAGCTACTTTGTTGTTGCTCCAAATTTATGATATATTCCCATATGTTCATATGATATTCTGGGTCAATTATTTATTCTGTACTTTCAAAGGTGCAAATAAAGTTTACTTTTTTCCCCTGCAGGATCAAAGCAAGCACTTCGTTAGTAATCATCAGTCTTTGCCTTTGTTTTATACTTCTGCCACTCTCAACTCAGATGCTATTTCTTGCATTGGACTGGTTCTAAGCAACCATATAAAACGCTCATAATATTTTAGATTCACAGGGTGCTTTCTATTACATCATAATTTTCATTTAAGATTATCTAACCATATTGGTTGTTCCTCAGGCTCACTAAATAAATGAAATCTATAATGTTATTCCATTACATTATTGCTTCAGACTAAATGATGTTCTTTTTGAGATGCAGTTCTATAACTAAAATAATACTTTTATATATGAAGACTACCCAGTCTGCCGATTCAGACATTCTTCACTGATGCAGTAAAGCAATTTGTCCTGGATTCATACTGTCCCTCATAATCAATCAGGTCATATTTACCCCGCTCACACACACACACCCCTCCAATGCTCTGAACTGAGAATGACTGAAAGCTTGCTTATAATGTTTATACTGTAAACCTATTCTACTTCTGTCACCTATAATATTCATTTCTACTTTTCTTCATTGTCTTAAATAATAATGTTAGTAACAGGATTAATAAATTAATAATGATAACTTAGGAAAAAGAATAATAGGTTATTGAAAATCATATAGATAGCTGATACTACTGGATTTCTATTGCCCAGCCTCAATGTTTTATGGGTTTATTATCTTTTGATACCATTCTCAATTTGTTTATATCCTTATATTTGGATTACAGTATTCCTGAACAACTGTAATTCCAGTACCTTATAAGATGTCTCTTTATGCTACCATTATTATGTAAGAATTATATAATTATTATATAAGTAGTTTTAACTTAGCAATATGTGATTTAATAGAAATTTTAAATACTCCATTTATTTGGTGTTAAATATTATATTTATTTTGGTTTTTATTTGTGTGTAGGAACATAGCATTTATAGAATCTGTACTTGAAATATTTTGTATGTATCCTTGAGTAGCCCTTTGGATTTATGCAATAAAGTTTTATTGACTGACTGAAAAAAAATGGTCACATAAAATATTGTTTTTGATTTTTTTCAATAGGCACAGTTATGACACCAAATTATTTGAACTATAATAATCTCAGCGTTGCACCATGGTGTGATTGCAGCAACAGTGGCAATGACCTAGAAGAATGTCTGAAATTTCTGAATTTCTTCCAGGATAATTCATGCCTTAGTGAGTACCACATTTATATTCTATTAAATTATTTCAAGGACTTGCCAATGCAATAACATACACTGAAATTACAAATGTGAGACCTGTTTACATAACAAGGATTATAATTCGAAGGTTATTTTATCAAGAGTCATTATTCCAAGGAGGCAAATGTACTCTAATGATAAAAAAAATGTTTTTAAATCACTTCCTCCACAATACATCTTTTGTTGTAATTCTCTTTGAACAACTGATAGTAAACTAAAATGGTTGTATTTAGATATTATCTCAGATCTGCTATCCGTGATCCTTCCAAAAAAAAAAAGTTGTTTCTGCATCATACTAGTGGTGTGCATACCATTTGTTAAGAAATACTGACTTAAATATTACATGTATTTAGAGAGTCCACGCAGACAGTTCAACCAGCCTAAATAATTAATACCAAAGCAGAAGATTCTAATACATGTTCTGTTTAAATGTTTAGTACAATGTGTGCTTTAAATGGTAGCATGAGCTTGACATGTGTTTTCCTGTCATGTATGACATTACTTGGGCTCAGCAATATCCTATTACATAGAATATACAACATCTATATAAAACATGCCTCTTTGTATACCATGGTAAAATATTTTTAATGTAATTAAAATCAGCATTTTATCTCAGGATCATAAACTCAGCTCTTCTCCTCTGGCATAGCTATTACATTTGAATGTTTGGCTGCTATTTTCAACCAGCTCTTATTTGATATCATGTATGAACTCATACATGCCAACACATAAGGTGGTCTGGGCGCTTGCTTCTGGTTTACTGTGTTATATGACTCCATTCCTGTGGCTATGAGTAATAAAACCATTGTGCCTTGTTCAGCATATCATGATTTAAAACATCTAAATCTAGCATTAGATTTGAATCACATTTTGGAAACAATGCAGGATCAGAAACCATTGCTTGTATTTGGTTTAATACAAACAATAGTTTCCGATACTGGATTGTTCCCTCAACCTATAGTTTAAACTAATCATGATGCCAGTTTTATTTGGAAAATTACTATCGGTAATTTCCAGCTACAACTCCCAGTCAGTCCCTGTATCTAGACCAGAGCAAGCTCACATGCCACTCAATACAGCTAGCAAAAATATAGCTTGATGTTTATTCATTAAACATCAGCAAACATCCAAACAGTTAACTGGGAAAAAAGGAGAAACGGCATGGAAAAGCAGGGAGAAAGGGGAGGGAGGGAGGGAGGGAGGGAGGAAGGAAGGAAGGAAAGGAAGGAAGGAAGGAAGGAAGG